GGAGAAAAGACAATGAGATTTGCACGCAACAGACTATTGAGGGAAGTCAATACAAACAAGGGAGCAAAAAAATTCAGAACTACTGGAGTAGTGAGCTGATGCAATTCATGCAGAGAAATGTAGGGCAGTATTTCTGGTCTTTACAAGAAGACAGGTTATGGATGTTTTGAGGGAAGTTTGTTTTTTAATTTGTTTTAAAATATTGTTTTCCATGAATTTATGAAATACTGGAGTACTCTGAACCCCATGCTCCAGGGAACGAGGTCCTGCTGAGAACAGAGAACTTTAAGTTCAGCTGACCCCTCCGCAAACATTTCCCAGGACTCCAAAATGGCAGATTACAGGTATTTCTTTATATATCTTGTGAAAAGCTGTTCCGTATGTTTTAACCTGAAAACAGAAGCCCTAATTGTCAGGGGAAGGAAGCTATTGACAAAAAAGAAGAGAGGCCCTTATTGATTATAATGTAACAGTAGCTGCAGATGAACAGACCTATTCAGTCTCAGTCCATCCTCCTACAAGGGCAGGCTACAGTCCCCTGCCAGAAGATATATCCAGTATTAAACTGACACTATGTTTAATCTTTGTCAAAACAGGTCAAATATCTCAAGACTTTCCAGGGGAAGTAGAAAATATTTCTCCTTTCCCCTTGATGGGCTTACCTACACAGAAATTGGGACATTTATGATTTACTTGAGACCAGTCCCGAAGTCATCTGGAAACTTTTTCTTACCGGCACTTAGAATTTGGCAGATTTCCTGAGAAAACAGGACCTGCATACTGTGTTGATCCTAAGCAACAAAGATGTGGGGCTCTGTTTTGCTCTATCAAATCAGACTCATTTGCTCACTGCAGTTTTATACAGTACATTTTGTAGGCTCAGCTGGGGCCCTGGGCTACAAAACATAATTTTGCCAGTGGAATTAAAGTCTAATAGAGAAACTATGAATGTCTCTACACTTACCACTCCCCTGCAGTGGCAGAACTCTTTCTTTTGGCCAAGAGAGTTACATCACCTCTCTGACCAAAGGAAGGCTTCTGCCTGGTCTAAAAATTGGCAGAAGATGAGTGTAGATGTTCCTGTACATTGTGCCAGCTGTAGCAGTCCCCTCAGCAGCTGATGCTTTTCCAGGGTGCCCTTGGTGCCCTGCCTGTACAGCTACTGCAGTGGAGCTGTACAGAACCACCAGAAGAGCCTGAATGGGAATATGCCTTGACAGCAGTGGCAGTAACTTTCTGCTACCAGAGGATTCTGGTGCCAAGGTCAGTCAGCGTAGACAAGGCCTAGTGAAGGGTTTGCAGGGGGAAGAAATAAAAAAAAAAAAAACTAGTGGAAGGGACAGTGAGGTAGGTGAAGAAAGATGACAAAGGGGAGAAAATCAGTGAACAGGTGGAGCATTAATGGTGGCAAAGAAAAACAGTTAAAAAGGGAGTGATCAAATGGAAGTGAGCAAGAAACACCAGACATAATAGACTTTGATTATGGGAAGGAAATACTAAGTAGATGGAGGAGAATAAAAATGCAGTATGTGTGAACCAGGAAAAAGAAGAATAAACTTTAAAGTTTGTGTTGACCTGCTTTGAACAGCAAGGGAAGGTAAATCAAACCTACAAAATTAAAGGCACATCTGAAAAAAGCGATTTAAGAACTGTATGGGAGTCTGGCAGTATGAGGATATATATGATTGCTGAAGGCAGTTGCAAGCACCTACTCATAAAAAGGACATTATAGAAACGGAACGGGTACAGTAGAAATAAAAGGGACGATAGAGGGAGCCAAATTAATTTGAAAAATATAGCCAAAATTAGGATTGTGGCTCTTTGGAAAAAGAGAGATTAGAAGACTTCATTAAGATTCACAAAATTCTTAATGGGATAGAGAGCTGGGATGCTACAAAGCTGTTTGACCTGGTGTCAAGAACAAGGGGAGATGCGACAATAAGATAAGCCCTGGCCGGACACTGTAGGAATTCAGGGAGGAATGTCAGTAGAGAGAAACATACATACAAATAAACTATCCTACACAGCAATGGGGGGAAGTAAGAGACTTCTAAGAAAAAATTCCACAGAGTTTAGAAGGAAAATGGTATTGCAGAGTTTTGATAGCTGCCCAGAAGGCTTTGCTTGAGATTTGCCATTCTAAAATTGTATATGCAAAGTCGTTTATGTTTTACACTGATCTTGTGTCTTGTTAAAATGGTATCTGTTAGGCAGCGATCTCCTTCTCTGCACTTACTCTACCATAGCTGCAGCTGGTTTAATCCAGTGCAGCCAGATACAATACACAAGAGATCAGCAGCCTCCCCTGCTCAATACTGAGTCTTGAGTCGCTGCTTTTTTGAAATAGAGGCAGGATCATTTTAGTTTAACATATTGGTCTCATGTAAATCATAAATCGCCTGTCCAAGGCAAAACTTTTTTGGAAAGAAATGCAGGCTTAGTCCTGGAGAAAAGAGAGACAAAGATTGTATTTAGGAAAGGTAAATAATAAATTGGCTAGACAGTGTATATTTAAGCAGGCATCTTGGAAGGTTGAGCACAAGAGAACTTGAGAAATTTTTGCCGTGGGTGCGCGCTTTATAACACAGGAGAAGAAGGTCTGTGTCTGAGGAACACTTGATTTTGCCTGTAGCACATATAACAGCATTTATCCATGTCACTCCTGCATTTCTATTTTGACATTCATATCCCCCATCCACATAAGAACATAGGAATTACCAGATCAGACCAGTGGGCCATTGTATCCAGTATCTCGCTGTTGCCAGTTGCCAGTACCTGATACTTCAAAGGAAGGTGTAAGAACACCCTTAGTGGACCATTATTGAATAGCCTGCCCATGAGGGAAATTTCTCACTAATCCCCCACCATCAGCTAGTGGTTATGTTATGTCTTGAAGCCTGAGGGTTTATACGCCTTCTCAAACGTATTTATATCCTGTCTGCTGTAACCATGAATGTTCTCAATATCCATATACACGTCTAATCCTTTATTGAGTCCTACTAATCTTTTGGCCTCAACGAAACCTTATGGTAACAATTGCCATATGTTAATTATGCACAGTGCAAAGTATTTCCTTTATCATTTTAAATTTGCTGCCTTTCATTTCCATTGGCTATCCCTTGATCTTGTCATATGAAAAGGGGTGCACAGGAACCCAGCATTTACCTCCCATCGGTCACTCATTATGTTATATAGCTGGCTGACCTCCTTTATGTCTTTCTTGTCTAACCAAAACAGCTTTACTTCCATGGTAGTGTAGTGTAGTGTCACATCTCTCAAGTTGCCTTCTTGTTCTCTCCAGTCTCTGCTTTCAGAACAAGAGCCCCTGAGAATGCAAAAAGCATGCAAACCAACATAGTGACATCTCAAGGCAATGCCTGAGACTGGAGGGAGCCTGAAATAGTAGCTGAGAGGTGTGAACTGTTCTATTTCAGCTGCCATTATCTCAAATGCCAGTGAAGCCGATCAGCGACATCACTGATCTCCTGCTCCCTTTCCTCCCAAATCAAGGAGCTAGCAGGACAGCTGAGTCTCACCAACAGAAACCAACCCTAAGGAATACGCAGGACATGGCAGACGTATGCAGGACCGGATGAGGAGCACAGCCATGTCTGTGGAACCTGGAGGGCATGGATGGTCGTATTTTTTATCTCTGAATGATCTCTTTGGGAACTAGTTGTGTGCCTGGAGGAGGTGAGCCTGAGCAAACACCTGGCTCTCATAGGATGCTTTTCACCCACCTGTAGGCCTGGGAGCACTTTAAGAACTAGGGGTGCTCCCTATTTTACAAGTTGGGGGGAAACGAAGTCTAAGAGCCCTGACATGACTTGTCCAGGCCCCTGGTGTGCTGCGAGGGGGATAGAAAGTTGTCAAAATACTGTCCTGGCCTGCCAGGGGCAGAACAGTGTTTTCCTCTCGCTACAGTCAGACGGGTGTCTCCTACACCCCTTGCAGGCCCAAGGGCAGCATCTCCACGTCAGCCAGGGGAGGGAGGGCAGGCTCAGGTGTGGGGGGAGCAGCTCTGCTGCAGTCCTGGGCGCAGGTTGGTGCTGGGGTTTGGGGGGGCACCTTCAACAGAGGAGGCCGTAGCTCTTATTGGGGGTGAGAAAAGCTCGAGCAAAACAGGGGAAGGAGGGGTGCAGTTTTATGGTATCAGTTGAATGAACAGGTCCCAATAGCTATCAGTTGAATGATTAAGTAAACAACTAGATGAGGCAGACAGGGTTCTTTGGGTGAGTCTGGTATCTTTTATTAGACCAACTTAAATAAAATAAAAGATATCCAATTAACCCAAAGAACCTTGCCTGCCTGTGCCCGTAGACCAGCACGGCTACAACCTACTCCCCTGTAACTTCATGATATATCTTTTATTGGACCTACTACAGTAGTGGGGAAAAATTGTCCTTTGCAAGCTTTCGGGCACAAACGCTCAATGCAAAAAACCACCAACCACCCCCCCTAACCGAATGGATGATTTAGATTAGACATGTATATAGATATTTGGATTTTTTGCACCGGAAGCACGTGGAGGTGGGGGGCCCTTGGCACCTCAGAGCTAGCAGCAGCCGGCGCTGGGAGGGCAGGGGCGAGCACCAGATCCCGTTGTTGTGATGGGAGGCGACCCCGCCCCCGCCGCGTGCGCTGGCCCACGCCAACGGCGGCCCCCTCCGCCCCACCCTTAGGCTCCGCCCACCCGCGCATCCCAAAACCCCCCCCCCCCCCTGTGGCCGGGGACCCTCCCCCCCCCCCCCCCCCCCCCCCCC